TATGGATAACTGATGAGGGTACTGAACAGCTGCATTTACTGCACAGAATAATACAGTTTATGCATTTTCCATATATAGAGATATCTAGACTATTTTGGTTAAATAAAGGCTCAGTGAAGGGAAATTTCTGTTATGATCATGCTGACTTTTAGGAATGCCTTTTGTTTTAGCAAAACGGCCATGTATTCAGTAGCAGAACTTCTGCAAATGCCTGAAAGACTGTGAGGCTCTTACACTGAAGTGCCTATTATCTGTTTGTTTTAACTGTACAGATGGACCCTCATACCAAAACTAAATTTATTACACATCACTGAGTATTATCTTGCCAAATCAACCTGTGTCACTGGGCTAGGTTCTCATGCTGTTGCTGAAATGGTATACTATCTTACTGTACAAGAGACCCATTGGTACAAGTCAAAGAGTAAGGTGATAACTGGGTGGAAAGCAAGAAGACCTGGGACATAAAGAGCTGTGACCTGCCTAGCCTCAGAAGGAAGCTTCAGTTTCTTCCACCGCTCTCATACACTAAGTTTCCCTGTGTAACAGCTGATTCCCAGTGAAGGGTTTGCAGTGTGGACCAACGTGCCTGTTGGAATACAGCATCTCACATGTAGCTGGAGCACAGGTTCTAAGTGAGGTGCATATTCAGCAGCAAGTACAACTTCTTAATTAGCTGCGTGATACAATGCTGAGGGAAGGACCAAAAGTAGTGGGTGAGCAGCAGCTCTATGTTGCCATCAAGTGGTAAATACATTGCTATCTATATAGCCCCAGTGATCATGGCTGGCTGGCATCCACTGAATGAAGAAAAAGAAATACATGAAAAGAAATGGTCTCCTTTTCATTTCTTTGTGTTATCCCTATCGCTTTACTGGTGATTGATCAAACGAGATTGTCACTTGTTCACTTAATGTTTGAATGAAAGATCTGAGGAAGAAAATTTTCAAATAATGCACTTATGCTATGACTATTGAAAGAATTTGAATTATACTCCTTCTCTCAGACATAGCTTTAGCAAAAATGACATGAAAAATGTATTTTCTCTTTACCAGGATGTCAGCTCTTCAACTTCATTGACATTGTCATCCAATAACACTGCTGTCGTCACAAAAACAATTACCAGAACGCTTCCTCTAAAGCAGAAAATGCACTTTGTCAATGTTAAGGCCCAGCATCTGCAAAATATCAACAAACAATCCAAAAGTTTAAAAGATCTGGAGATCCAGCTGCTGCAATTGGAGTGTGAAGAACTCAAAAATCAACTAGGATGCCTGAGGGTAGGTAAAAATCCAATTCTGTTCTTAATATCTAACTGTGCTGGTAAACAGTTACATTGAAATTAGTTTATTCATAGAGGTGTTAAAACCAAGTAGAAAAAAAATGTTTTTCTGCTCAGTTTTCATCCAAACAGGTTATTGATATCAAATGTTTTGTAAATTATCACATGTAGAAGAGAGTTTGGGTCTGAATTCACAATAGTTCTGGTTTAGCCTCAAGTTAAAACTTTCACTAAGGATATAAACTTATATATTGGATTACTGAGTGGCATTCCTATACTTCTTAATTATTGTGTTGTACTAATTTTATGCCCTACCAGCAGCATCTCTGAGTCCTTTGTTACAGCAACTTATCATGTAAGAGGAACAGTTCGCAAAGGTTGGAATTGCCCATGTTGTTTCCTACCTCACCCTAACCTGCGTTAATAGCCAGAGGAAGTTTACTAAGCATGAAGTACTAGGGTAGTTGAAGTGTAGGATGTCATGCTGCTGATGCTATGAAGGGACATCTTGCTTTTTAGGTGTCAGAGAATTATTAAATTGAGCACAAAAAAATCACATGCATAAATATAGATATATTGCTACAGCAGATGTTCTTGTTCTGCTAGAAATTCAGCTGTGACAAATTGTATGTTACTATCACCATACATCTGAGAAAACAGAAATTGAAAATGTCCTGTCATGCAGGAAGGGCTGATGGGGCAGAAGCCAGGCGACACGGAGGAGTTACTGAAACAATCTCAGAAAGAACTGTTGTGGCTTCAGAGACAGCTGTCCTTTATCTCCACAGGAGGCCCTGTGTGTGTTTTGGCAGCTAGCAAGGTGAGCTCCTTTATTGTTTTGTTAGTCTACCTCACTGAACAAAGTGGAATTTGGAAGGGAAGATTTATCATCATTTTGGCTTGTTTTACTGAAACAACTCACTGCAAGATTTATTTTTCATACTAAGGATACTAAGAGGAAAACTCATCTTTTAGAACGTATTGTAAATAATTGTTTCGTGTAATCCAGAAAGACTTGAAAGAACGTGAAATTCATTATGGTGTGTGAAAGGTTACATAGTTAAAATGGCATTTCGTATAGCCCTATTGTATACAGAAAGATGTCTTATGTTCTAGGTCTTTTTCTAAAGAAAACTATCTGTCAGAAGGCAGGATCATTGTTATTCTGGGGGGATTTCTTCGCCTGGCACATAGACCTGTAATTCCCTTTCTTCTCTCAGCAACACTGTTACAGATGCGTTCCTAGTTACCTACTACCTACCTAGCCCATCATCAGCATAGCTGCATCCAGCCCTGAACAGGCAAAAATCACTATCAAGCTATATACTTGATGTTAATAATCGGCTATATAAACTACCAAATTAATAGGACATTGTTAACATAAACAGTTTAACATCTTACAGTTCCAGTAAAATGTGAGTTCTAATTTGCTGTGGCATAAAAAATTGAATATGTCAAGGTTTGATGACTCAAGTTTCTACATGATTACTTGAGATAAAGGATAGGTTTTTAAATCTTCATAGCAGTGAATCTGTGCTGATAGTTTAAAAAATTAGTTGCTATTTTCTTTTTAGTGACTTAATTTAATGTATTCATATTATTTTACATATCTTTAAAATGAGATTTCCAGAAAGTTTATGATAATTTACATATTTTATACATATATACCCACAGCTCCCATGTACAGATGTACCCATTTTAAATCCACCCATGAAAAGGAATGAGAAGAATTGATTTGGTTCAGTGCAACACATTAATCATGGCATTTTACAGTGATCTGACTTATTTTCAAGTATCAGTTTGGTTTAGCACGTTTTTGTTTTGTTTGTACAAATGTACATAAAGCAACAGACACGTGTTACCTGGAAAGTCCTGGTATCACTTTGTGTCATGTACTGCAGGTCTGTATTTGTTGCTGAAGTGCGGTATGACAAGTGCTAATATAGTCAGAAAGAACATTTGGATTTGAACCTTGCATGTAGCTCAACTGAGGAAAAAAATTCCTAACTTGCAAAAAATAGAATTTTTTTTAAAAAATGAAAACTATTTATGCCACAAACTGGTTATAAGAGTGCACTTGCCTGATGATTAAAGGCATAATCTAATCTGGGAAGGAACATACGATCCTTAGTAGGAACAGCTTTTCTCTCCAAAAATATCAGAGTTTTGTTGTTCCTGCTACAGTTGTGAGTAATCTCAGGGAAGGTCATTTGGGGCTGAGATGTGCACAAAAAAGTGGTCTTGGATACCTTATTTTTAGATGTTGGACTCCCCATTTGGAAAGCTGTAGTCTTTCTAGAATGTGCCAAGGTAGACCTTTAGGGAAGAAAGCACACGTTGCCTGTAACCCTTTTCCTCATTTTTTTTTTTTCAGTGTCATAGGACCAAATACCACATTTTTAGCTGTTTCATTTGTATAATGAGGGACAGATTTTTCAGAAGCTGTTAGTTATGTTGAAGATCACACTCTGATAGTCTGCACCATACTTTAATTCTGAGCTTCTGAAGTGAAATGCTTTTCATCCAAGTGAGAGTGGTGGTACTTGGTGTTGCTAGAAGCTTTGAGGGTAATGATCTTAATAAGGTGCTCAAATAGATTGATGCGTGGGAACTGGAATATCCAAAAATATAGGCAACACCATTTTGGAAGGATTCCTTAGCTGTTTAGTAAGCGTCATGGTTCAAGGTTCTGATTTGTCATGAACTGGAAATCCAGATAAGACAAAACTTGAGAAAGAGATGATGTGATGAGTCCCCCTTCCATGGCTCTAAATGCCTTACAGTGAAGCCCCTGCTGCTGACAGCTCCTGGAGATGAAGGTACTCTGCGTGCATTTCAACTTCATAACGAACTATTAGGCTTTGGGGGAAGTCTGGCTTTTTTGTTAATGGCAGACTTTTCTGAAAATTCTCCCCCTCTTCCTCATTATGCCTCTAAGTAGAACTGTGGAGGGAAGACTGATATTTGAAAAGGAGCTGTAAATTCATGTAGAGAGACATTATTAAATGGAGAGATATATTTCTGTAGATACTTTAAGAGAATTCAATGAAATAGTACCTTGAGAGTGCCACATTTCCCTTCCCTGTTAAATATTGAAAGGAAAATAAGGAAAATATGGAAGTTCGACTCAACGTGACTTAGTATGTTTTCTTGATAGTTTAACCTTCATCAGCCTTGAGAATTCAGTTACATCATAGTGAAAGCACTCCTAAAGTGGCCAGATCACCTCTGCTGGGGCGGGGGGTGAGAAAAAAAAGGAGGGAAGAAAGACTGAAGATAGATCTTTAAAAACTGATTTATTTAAAATCTTTCCCTGTATCCCCTTACAGGGTCTCTCTCTAGCTGTGGGGGAGATGTTTGTTGCATACTTAAAAGTTCTGTGTGAATATATTGTATACAGTTTTCTTTAGAAGAGGAAAGACAGAATGGTTAGGATGCTCCAGGTAATCTGTCTTAATACCCTTCTGCATTTGAGTTTCTAAGCCTTCCATTGGGCAGGCTTGGGAGTGAAAAAAAAAAATTGCAGCTCACATTTACAGTTCATTGGTTCGTGCCAGTAGGCCACAGATGACCTACTGAGAAGATCCTGTGATAGCATTACTTGGAGGTAAAATAAAATCTCCCAACACCCGCCTCCCCCCGGCCCCCCCCTCACTGAAACACATCCTTGCTGCGATCCCACTTGCTGCTTGTCAGCTCCTGTCCGCGCTCCCCGCTGCTGCGTCGGGTTAATACTATGTGAAAGAGAAACTGGCAAATAGGGAAAGCCATCTTTGTGTGCGTATGTGTGTGCGAGCACTGCTGTTTCATAGGCTCTGGCAGCTGCTGCATGGCCGATGATGCTTGCTCTCTCTTTTTCACCCTGCCTCCCTGCAGACAACTAATGAATCATTTCTAGCCTGAATACTAGCTGTGCAAACACACCAATGCCGCTGCTGCTGCCGACGCTGCCGCCTTTCTCTACAAGGTTGTAATTTGACACAGTAGACTGCAGTTCTCTCGGCAATGATCTTGCTGAACATCGGAAGCACTCGATTTGAAGGTATGCTGAGATTTCACCATTTCTAAAAATAGCTATTTCTTTTAAATGCTTTTCGGGCAAAATGAGGGTGGGAGGGCTGAAAATCTGTAGGTGTGTGTGGGGAGAATCCTCTTTTTAGTTAGCAGTAATGCAGCAGTAACTCTTACCAGAGGCAGACAAACTTTATTATTCTGCTGCAATTTGATGATGCCCTTCACTGAATCTTTTCTTCTAGGTGCTGCTTAGAATAATAAAATGTGTTAGTGTTGTGCACAAGCACTAGGTAAAGGGATTAAACTCTTGCTAGATTATTCTATCCTCCCTCCTATTGATGTTTAATCTGATGTCATTTTCCAGTCACTTTTAAGGTTTCCTATAAAATAAATACTATATTGACAGGTTTGCTGATGCCATGTTTCTTTTCTGTATTAGTGTCTGTGGGCAAAGTTAGTAATTATACTGGCTAGCAGCTCTTCCCTCCTGTCAGTTCCCCCCCACCTCCCCATCAAGCCCCCAAGCACAGTGCATATTCACAGTATCTGTTTGCTTTGCAGATGTATATTGTCATGTCATGGCAAAGTCATCAATCTGACTACTCTTCCATAGAAATATTGTTAATGAAATTATATGTGGTATTTGTCTGGCAGCTAACGCTAAATTAGGCCAATTGCAAGTAAATATCCTTTTTTGGTAGACGAGAGAGATAGCTGCAGCTATATAGATAGATAGATATATATAGAGACACACTATACATAGCAGTATTTGTGGGAAGTATGTTATGTATAGGAGTATGTAGAACAGAATAATAACATCTTATGATAGCATATGCATATAAATGCCAGTTAATTAGTTAGCATGTACCAGTATGCTGTGTTCAGTATTATAGGAGATACTGCAGGTTTTTTTATTAACCTCTTTTGAAAATTGGCTGTTGCCTATAGCGTTGAGCAAAGAAGCTATGCCTTTCCAAGAGTGATGTGATGGTTGACATAACAGTTTTACGTAGCCTTAGTACAATTTTAACTGATGAATACATAAGTGCCTACATGAATACATAAGTGTTTTTAATTTTTAAGCTGCTGCTGTCTGTTATTTCAGTGGTCAAACACTGACAGGGCTTTTTTGTCCAGCACAGGTATTGATGCAGAGTTTATATATAAAATAACTCAGCAGAATAACTTATTAATGAGTGTTGTCACTGCATCTGGTAAATACAGTCTGTTCCTTAAGTGATTGGATACATTTGGAAGAAATACCTAAAATCAAAGCCATTGATCTTAACATTAAGAATTGCCAAGTATGCTGAGACAGGGAAAGAATGCTATGATTGCCATCATCAAAATACAAATAAGGACTATTGCTTAGCAAGATAGAAGAGCTGCTTTCAGAAAACGCTGAAATAATGAAACACAGACCAAGTGGTAGGGTGGAAATTAAAGCATCCCCATAAATTTAATGCCATAAAAAATAGCAATATCCATGAACTGATACAAAAGCTACTGTAGTCACTTTATATTTCAGCTTTTTTGATCCAGGAGGTCTTACATTTTTATTGGAGAAAGGCTTTCAAGTCTACCCAGCTGACAAATGAGGAAGGAATTCAGATCAAATCTTACAGATGTCAGCCAGGATTCACCACTGTAGACATCCTTTGAAATACATATGCATTAATTTTAGTATCTTAAAGGAGGGTGTTGGGTCTTTTTTAGGTGACTCTATTGTTTTTTTAAAGAGATCTGGTGGCCCTGAAGAGTGGCTTTGTGCATACTACTTCTGTTTTAATAAGAAAAAGGTCTACTCTAAATGAAACTAGTGAAGTGGTTGTGCTGCCTGCAGACGAGAGAGCAACCCTGAATTTTTGTAGCTAAATATCTGAATGGGTTCCAGCCTGCTTACATACAGCATGACGGTATACTAGAGGCAGTGAACAGAGAAGCAGTGTTATTACATACAACTTTATATATTCGGGTGTACCCAGAGCATCTTTTTAAAAAATTTAATATGTTCGATTTTCTAGAATCATAAGCAAATTACAGCTTTAAAATGTCACATGGTTTTTAGGGGTAGAAAAAAAATGGGACAGTGCAGTGCCACAGATTTCTGCCTGAAAATGATCTGAATAGCTGATACATGCTAATTTAATTAACTGACAATTACAAGCTCAGAAATTTGAAGCATGTCTGTATGTGGCCAATCTCATACTGTACAAGCTAGATATGTACTTTTGCATGTGTACAAAATATGAATGTCTCTTTGAATGTCGGTTCATTCTGGTTTAGGTATAAGATGTGCGTACTCATGGTTTAGATAGGTGTGTCAAAATTGAGTTTGAAATGAATGTGTAAACACAACAGTGTTCATTCTGGTAATAGATTATTACAGAACTCTGAGCCTTTCTGGATTGTCAGGAGTAAAAATAAGGTTCCTGTGATCACTGGATAATGCGTATCCTCTGCTATAAGGGATTTTCCTTGACATGTGTCAAATGCTCCACCACGTATCAAAATTAGATATCCAAAATCACACTAACTTTATTCTGAAATAAGAAACTAGTTGGTCATGCCTCACTGTCCTGTCCATTCAATATTTATGTTGAATGAAATATGGTTTGAGTGTCAAGGCTGTTGTTCATTTAGTTGAAATTGTTTATAGGCCCTCATTGCTACTACAAAATGTGTCAGAGTAGCTGAACTATCTGTTAGTTGTGTCTTTTTTCCTGGGACTTGTTTTTGGTTTGATATTCAGCAAAAGCTTCTGGCTAAAGCGTGATTTTGTGTAACTCCTTTGTTTCCCCCTTCCATAGCAGCATTTGTCATGTCTGGTGAGCTCTTTGATAGAATGGCAAGCTACAGAGATGACGTTTCTATAATTTTGAAAATCTTTCCATGTGCAGTACTAAGTAACTGAAATCTGTTTAAGATTTTCTGGAAAACACCTGGTGCCACTGATTGATTATCTGTCTTCTGACTGTAGATGTTGTAAGCTGACTGTCCACTACAGATGAGAATTGTGGAGCATTGCTGACAGTAGCGTTTGCTCATTGCTGTTAGAATTGGAAAATATATCATGATTAGAAATGGAATTGGGATATAACCACAGTGCTGGAAAAATGCAGCTTTTTCAGAGCAACTTGTCATGAAACCGGTTTCTGCTCACCAGTGAAAAAGAGGGCTTTTATCAGGCTTATTTGCACAGAGTGGGCTCTTGGGAAATAGCAGTGATAACATTGGCCTGAGAGAACAGTTAATGAGCTTCTGGAGCAGCTGATTGACCCTGAAGTTTGAATGTGGTCATTGAGCATTTCTTTGCTGGCTGTAACCATCCTGTTCAATAACATGTGGGAGTCATGTTCATTCTGTAAAGTATGATTGTAAAGCCACCTATGGTTGACATTTTGGTGAGGAAATTAGAGTGACTTACAGGCTTGTGGCTCAACACTTTGGCTTGTGCTTGTGACGTGGCACTTGATAAGGAAATCAGAGTGTGACTTCTAGCTCTACCATAGATTCTCTGAATGGCCCTGGACAAGGCACTTAGTATCTCTTGGACTCTGTTCTCTTTCTGTAAATAGGAATTATAATGAACCCCTTCTACTACATTCTACTCATTTTATCTGATTAGAAAATGAGATCTTCAGACCAAAGACTCTTCTTCATCAGGATGCCAAATTCCAGTGGAGGCTTCTAGATGCTACCTATAAATTACCTGACAGTCTGCATTGTGTGTTGTTAATCTATAGAAAAATATTTCCAGATTTCAGAAGAATCTGAATTGATTCCGAGATTTTTAGAATAACACTTGATTTGCTAAACTCTCTATTGTGCTCATGGGTGTGTTTGGTTTGGAGTGAAGAGCCTGGTTTCCTTGATGATGGCAGTGATTTGGTAGAAACATTTACAGCACAAAAGTCAGGACAGAGGAAGTGGAACTGTAAGTCTGATAAAGTCTGATTTTTTTTTAATTATTTTTTTAATTGTGATAGTTTTATATTTTCTGTGTCATAAACAGTATAACACTTGGTTTCTAAGGCACTAAGTATTACTATGCCAAATATTTGATCTTGCTTAGCAAGCAGCAGCAGTGCACAATATTACTGTGAAAAATCAAGGGGAAGGCATTGCAAATATAGTAGTATGGCACCGTCTCTCTTCTCTCTTCTAATCCAATGACAGTTAGAAACTATCTTCCATTTTTGCTTTCAGTGTTATTGCTGTAGCAAGCTCTTCAGTGTGATACCTTCCTTAAGGCCTGATCTGAGCGCAGTGAGCTGATGGACGGTCAGCACATGCACCCTTTTCCTTCCCCGCTCCACCTCCACTGGGACTAGACTGATAGTTTTGTTGGTGTTTTTTTTGCTAAGGAGCATAAATAATTTTTATATACAGCTTCAATTAATTTTTTACACTGGATATGGGGGGGTGAGGGAAGAAAATGACAATAATACCCACTCTTGCCAATTGTGGCAGAAAAATAAGCCCTTTTTGAGGCAGGCTGACTTGTTTAGGGTTGGCTCAGAAAAATCCTGAATCGAGACTAAATTCCTCCAGAGTCAGGAGGGGGTTCACCATTTCAGCTTCTGCTGAATATTTCCACACCTCCTTTTTACACATTGGAAAAATGTTATTTGTTACTCCTGTACGGAATATCATGGTGCCTTTTCACCAATATGGCAAGTGCATCTTTAGTAAGTATATTGTCCAGCTTGCTTAAAAATATTCCCTGATATTAATCAGCAGGGACTTGTATAGATCTATGCCAGTTCACACCAGGGGGGATAGCTCAGCATAGTATCTCAGGATAGTGTGCTAATGGGCTAAACTCTTGCTGAAGACGGATAGAGTTGATGGTGCTTAGAATTCAGCTGGATGAAGCTCACACTTGCCACTATAACAAGCAGTTTGGGGTTGAATCTGTCCCCTGTTCACTGCACTTTCCCTCTTCTGTGACAGTCACAGTTTTACCTATTTGTTAAATCCTTCTTTCTGTTCTCCCCACTTCCCTCCCCCCAATTCTGCATATGG